AGTGAAAAACTCAGAAAGGGGGGAACTGAATGGCAGGATATAGAGACCAACTTCAGAAAATGTGTCTTTTACATTGATATACAAGGAGGGAGGAAGACAAATGGAACAAGAAAGAAGGAAGGCTACATGTGAAGAGAGTCTGAAGCATCTTGCAAGGGACTGGATTAAACTAGAATATGATAGGCAATAAGACTAACTTGTATCGAATGAGCCCAGAAAAGAAGGTCCAGTGTGTGAAAACAGAGATTGAGACCAGATACCTTGATGCTTAATATAAGAGATAACCATAGAATTATGGATCATTATGAGACACCTATAGACCATTGAAAGAAAATGATCCAAAGCTCAACATACTGCCAATAGTTCCAAAAGATTGCCATGATAGGTAGATTTGACATCAGACTACCGACCTGAAATCTCTTGAGAGTCCACAGATGAAGGTCCAAACAAGTAGGAGGAAGAGGAACACCTAATGAAGTATTGGCTTTGTCGAGCCACCAATCAAAGTTAAATTGTGGGGAAGGGGGAAGGGGAATGGTAGAGAACAAGGGATCCCAAGCAGGTTCCACTGATCGTGCAGAGTCCACTGAATATGACGCATATGAGCACAACCCAAATTGATAGGGGATTCCATGGAAACCCAAGTCCCCAAAATGGAGAGAACCTCCCATGATTTTAGACAAGGAGAGTATATGGATTTGGAAACCAAGCACTCCATGTCCCTCAAATGAAGAGGAGAAGGCTGGGCCCTGCTGAAGTGAGAATTGAAAAACACACCCAACCGAAAGACATAATGAGTGGCTGTGAGATGCAGCTTCTACAGTTTGGCCAGCCAATCCAGATATGCTGACTCCTGAAGGAAGAGAAAGGTATGGTCAAAGAAGGCTTGTTGGGATGAAGCCAAAAGATGCCAATCATCCATGCACTAGTGAAACAACATTCCCAAGCCATGAATGTGATGAGTAAAAGCTCTAACCACCTGACAGAAAATATATGAAGCCCAGACAAAGCCAAAGGGGAG